TATTTTAGGGGTAGATTCATCCCCTAACGAGCCGTTTCACTCATTGGATTTGAAAGATTTCTCCAATAAATTTATCGAATCTGATAATACAGAAAAATCTCCTCATGTTAGTGTAAAAAGGAAAAATATGTCATAATTAAAAAGTTCCCCAAGCAGCAAAGAGTAGTTGAATCAACGTTGAATAAAGATTGATTGATGTCGTAGGCGTTGATATACCAAAAATAAACGTTGAATGGGCATTATGAAAACAACGTATTAGTCAACGTTTTCTAAGCAAAGTCTATTCAACGTTGAATATAGGTTGAAGCAGAAATTGCAATTTTGAAAAAAAAAAAATTCAAACCCATCGGTACCAAAGTATCTAGACTAGGTATAGCAACTTTGAATAGTTATATCACTGGTTTTTCTCTGTTTGATTTAGCCCATCACTAGATGTTAAATAAACGTTGAATGGAGGTTCAAAAAATGTTTTTTGAAATAAATATACGTTATTAGTAAAATTTAAAATATCAATAAAAACCAGATATTTATTAGGTATTATATATCTTAATGAATGCAGGTTTAATGTTTAAAGTTCCAACATTCGACGTGAAATAATCTTATATAAGTTCCTTGAACGTAGATAAAGTGGTATCTCCATGCAAATTCATTCAAACTTCCCGCTAAGGTGCATCGCGTCCCGCCATTTGCCGCCAGCGCCCTCTGAGCCCAACCTGTGGCGTGGCCCAGCCCATCATTGCATTGGCGTCTGGCCGCTGGCGTCATCACGTTCATCGCGTCATTCTTCCTATTCACTCACGTTTTTGTTGATTTTATTATTTTGTGTAAATTTAAAATTATTGAATGTGTAAAGGGTGTTATTATTTTTGTCATTGTGTGTTTATTAATGTGTCCAGCCTGGATTTAACTTCGATTGGTGGAAAATGGTGGTAGGCGGAAATAATTCCTCAAAATTATAGAAACCTTTTCATACTTTTCAATTCCTATTTAAGCGCAAGCAAGCCAGTTGAATTTTAACAATCTTCCAAATAATGTTTTATTTTGATCAAATTTGTGTCCCCTTACTGTTTCGATATATTAAATTTTGTGTCAAAGAGCTTGTGGTTTGTGTTTATTTAAAACATTTGTGGAATAAAGTACCTATAACCTCAAATATTTTGGTGATTTTATTTTAATTGAAAACTGTTCTGCCAGACCCAGCTATAGAACAAGTTTCATAAGACGCAATTTGATATCAAATGTCTTATGAAGCATGTTTTTTGTACTATTTTTTCTATTTCAACTTGTAAATAAAGGTTGAGCTCAACCTCAGGCTCAACGTAAAATCTGACGTCTTAATTACATCTGCTCAAGGTTGTGATAATGGTTGAGTTCAACGTGAAATCTGACGTCTCGAATGTCATCTGATCAACGTTGTTATAAGATTGAGGCCAACAAAAAAAACGACGTTAATTCAACGGTCACATTCAACGTTGTCTCAATTATGACATTGTGCCGTCCTGTCAACGTACTTTCAACTGTTGTTACAACGTAATGCAACGTTGGGAAGTATCGTACATTCAACGTTATATCGACCAAACCTTGCTGCATGGGATCTTGTTTTGTTGGCTTCTAGACGAGTCCTCGGTTTAAGTAAGTCCAGACCGAATACGAAGATTTTATTCCAGCATAGAACTCTATGCCTAAATCCAGTACAGCTAGCCGCACCAAAATACTTATAGACTTACAAGAAATCTTAAAAAGCGAATTGAAGAGATAAAGAAAATTAAAAATTTTGTAGGGACAGAATTTACACTGAGCTCTATATTATATCTATGAGGATGAAGAACAAATGAAGCATTTAGTTGACGATTCTTCAGATGGAAATGCATTTAAAAACTTCAAGTAGAGAAGATATTCCAAATGGAATCATCTCAGAAATCATAATGGAGAAATACGCTGCCGCCTATGAACATTAATGGTATATATTGGTAGATTTATTGGAATAACGAACAGCAACTACCAACACAAATTTTTAAAATCTGAGCTAGATACTTTTACTTGGCCTAAGCGGCTGACGACATTGCTGAAGTAGATAAAGCCTACATATCCCATGGTCCTATTGAGTTATTAGGTAGGTAAATAACGGTCCCTTTCAACAGAAAAGAGCTGACGCATTATGCATTTCTGAAAAATATAAGATTGAGCATTAGATTATGAGACAGAACAGGTTTAATAATTATTAGCTCAAAAATTAGTTAGTTTTGGAATATATCATGTTGATTTTTTGATTTTTAACATTTGTTATAATTCCTTCATATAAGTACGAGTTTGTATTATTCGTTATTCGATGTATAATAAAACTTGCCAAATGATTGAACTCTTTCATTGCTATACCGAATGGCCGATATTTTTATCATAGCTACTCAATTATGTATCTATATTATGTTTAGGTTACCTTGGTGTGTATTGTGTTCTTAGAAAGGATATTTTCTGTCAGTAATACATATAGTTACATACACTCCTTTATAGAACTTTGTATTGCCTTGCGATCGTATGTATTCCCATGTATTCCTTTGTATTCTTATGGATTCCTTTATATTCTTATGTATTTCGTTTGTACTCCATTCGGTGTACAAATTTGGCTGGCGGTTTTCCCCTTCGTGCATACCTAACTTTAATAATTATGTGGATCCAGAAAATTAGCAATTTGCATTAGTTGTCTAGTATAATCATTTACTTAGCTAGATGAGGACGTGATCAAGCTTCGAGTACCTACACTCCCTTTGAGTACAGCTTTTTTTTTCTTGAAGAAAACAAACAATTAAAAAAATGCATCATGATATAAAAATAAATAAAAAAAGGACAAATATCAAGTCATCAAAAGGTTAATTTGGGTAACTTTAACTTTTAATATTAAAGAAACGAAGTTATTTACCCAATTTTTAAAACCCATTTCCTCCATATTCATATTATACTTCCTCATGAACGAAGGAAGTAGAATGCATAATGCTCTTATATATGTTACATGTTATTTTCTATATCTACTATACTATTAAGAAATCTCTATTTGTACCAGGGCCCATTGCCCATACACCATGTTCAATGACCCATAACATACGATATACAAGAAGAAAATCAGCGAAATTGTTCATAACTCAATTTCACACATAAGTGATTTCTTGCGCAACAATGAATTGCCTTTAGTCAATTCTCTTCAATATTTTCAATCTTTATTGTTTATTAATCTATGTATTTTGGAGTGTAAACGCCCACGTTGTCCCAGTATTGTTGTAACAGGATAGATTCGAATCAAAGAGGAAATACATTTGCCTTGGAACTCCTACACAAATTTGTAATAATATTTTTGTAATTTTTAATTGCAAGTTTTTGTAGGTAGTTGTTTCTTATCGATTTTAATATAATTTATAGCAGAAAATTATAGCCTCAAGACCTAGAGAAAGACTATTTGACATTTAAAATATCTTATTTTTTAGTTAATTTGATAAGGAAATTGCCACAAACAATAATTATTATTTTCCATTGTTCATATATGCAGCAGCAGGACTGTCGCAACAGAATAAAAAATCAATACAAATTATGATCAAACGTACCTCAGGCCCAGACCGTCCGTGGGTAATATAAATTATTTATCAATAAAGTAATTATAATTATACTGCATTTTGTTAGAATAATGAACTGTTACTTTAGACTGTAACCTCTGATTATGACCTCATATTACTTACTGTTGCTTTCATGCTATACTTCGGTCACGAAGTTGCACAAAGCATATTGGTGCTACAATTTGTGGTTATATTGTATGGCGCTGATGTAAAAACTTATTTCACTCATGTATCAACATCAACATCAGCTAGACCTAAATAAATTATATAATAATAAATAGTTTGAGTTAATGGAAAAAAATTATATCATGACAGGAAAATTTGTTTAAAATATGTATCACGTATCTGGCTGGAACTAATATTTAGTCGTGAACTATACCTACCATGACGAAGCAATCAAAATTGCATACTACATAATTAATCGAGGCTTTCATTTTTTTCGGTGATTTATTTGTGAAATTTTAAAATAACAAAATATGTATTCCAAAAATGTATTAAAATTTCGAAAATAAATTGCATAAGTAGTAAATAAAAAGTAGGTAAAGCAAAGTTATCCATCAATATAAGAGTGTGAGAAGTGTCTCCAAATTTGTAACATTCAATTTCATCAATTTTCTGTTTTAAATCATTTAGCTTTTTCAGATTTTTCTCTGACTATGCAGGTATAGAAAAATTATGAAGAAATTCAGGAAATTAAATAATTTATAGATGGGCGCCATAATTGGCACAATATTTCATTACGAAAGTGAACCACTGAATTTTCTTCCCATTATCATCATATTACTTCATTTTCCCATATTGCATTGCCTTTTTTCACTGTAAACCCCCATTGTTCGCATAATATTGATGATCATAATTTAGGTACCTATCATCTTTTTGTTGCTTCACATAATACACTGATGGTATTTTTTTAGAAAATACAATAATGAAGAGAAAACTCATTTCTTACCCACGTGTTCTGATTTTTCGTATTTCAATCTTATACATATAGGTACCTAGCTAGGAAACCTATTTGAAAAATTTTCAATAGGTAGGTACCTAATGCATATTATGAGGCTGAGCCAAAACACCAAATATTTCCTTATTTCTTTTGAAGCTTTTAGGTACCTACCTCCCTACTTGGACTACTATTCATTCGTTTGCTTGTTTCTTCAGCTATAAAAAATTTGGCGATATTGCAATAATAACAACCAAAATTCCATTCTCTATTTCAAAATAAATTATTTATCAAAACACTATTAAACAAAAACAGCAAAATGTTCTATAGTGCAACTATAGCGTAAGAAGAGCATAATGTACCTTATGGTTATGGTATAATGGTAGTGGGAACTTTTACCCATGCAAAATAAACTATAAGAATATAAGTTCATGGAATGCGTAATTTTCAGTAGTATTTTATGCGGGTGGATTCGTTAGGTTTCGAGGTTCAGAAGTACCTACAAATTTTTACGAAAAAATTACTTTCATTAGTTTTTGGTGTAAATCCAAATAAATAATTGTGCGTATTTATATAAAGTTGATAATGGATATTATACGAAAATCTATAAAGGTAAGGTTTTGACTTTGATAGATAAGCAAAATAAAATAGTTCATCTAAATAGTTTGAAAGTTATGTGTAAATAAGAATTTTGGACAGAAAACATGTAGGTATTCTACATCTCAATTTTTAAACATAATAAGAAATTGTCAATTTTATTTTCCCCGATTCCTGAGAAATTCATTTTTTTTTTTCATGCGTATAGTTTTGGAAAAAAAAAGGTTAATTCTATAAAATGATGGAGGTACAAATATATAAGTTTATGTATCTTGAGATCCCCTGCATGCCTCCAATTAGTAGTCATGGTCTTCCATAAATTTTAAGCTTAATTTTAGTTTCTAGTTGTAAAAATCCAAGTATTGATTCTAAATTAAATATTTTATTTGGATGAGAACCTACCTATTTAAAATAATTCGTCTTGAAGACGTCGTATATGTTACAAAACCCAACATCTTTCAGACGCCCATAAAGACGTCTTCAGGACTAATATTTCGTTATTATTATTCATTTATAATTTTCAATTTTTGTCTTTTTCAAACGCTATGCTCTTAAATTCTTGATTTCTTTTAAACGAAAACATACACAAAATTAATTTTGGAAGAGCAACATTAGAAGAGCCAGGAGTAAAAATTACAAAATAAATCCAGAACCTGAAATTCTAAAATACGGAAATAATGAGAATTCAAGAATTTGGAATGACACAATTCAAGAGCCAAAAGAAAGTTGAGAATTAGGAATAAAGAAATAAGAAAAAATCAAGAGCTTTGAACAGAAAAAAAACAATAAAAATTGAAGAATTTGAATTGAAAGAGAAACTTTTTCTTGCTACTATTTCTTTATTATTACCTACTCATTTTATAGGTGTCAATTTTTGTCTATTCCAGGGCGTTAGGCTCTCTGAAATAATCTGAGGTTTTTGTATTGTTCTGAAGCCTTTCAGAATGCTGCTGCAAAGTATTTTGGAATGTTCTAAATGGCTTATTGAAGTTCTAAAATGGTATCTAACTTGGCTTGAAAAGTCCTGGAGCATTTTAGAACTTTTTTAGTAATTTCTAAATTGTTCTGATACATTTTTAACTATTTTAGAGCCCTATACTGAAGCTCCAAAGTGTTCTAAATTGGTTCAAAAATGTACTTTTTTTTCTTCCTTTCCTGTTTACCGGTGGCTCCTTGTCGTCAAACAACAGTCAGCCAGAATCCTATCACTTGTGTCCTCTAGTACATCGGGGTGAGGTTACCCCACTTGCCAATAGTTTAGGTTTTAATTGGAGATGAGTAGGTAATTTTTGCTGTGGCGTGTACAGCGGGGAATTTGGAAACGTGAGGGAAATAGGAGTAAATAGGATGCCTAAAAAAATGAACATATAAAAACCAATCATATTTTAGAAGCATTAGCACTTAATAACATTCTAAATCATGCAGCACACCAGATAGCATCACTCTACAATACAACTCTAACCATGAACTACTGCACAACAAACTTTTTGATACAATCCATAACCATATCTCTGCTTCCCTGCTGGTTGGATTTGCAAGAATTTCTTCCATCTGTATCGGGTCCTCCTACCATCTTGTTCAGTCTTGAATACAACCAATCTGTCGGACCTCTGTTCAGTTCACAGTTCAAGAGCACATGATTGATATCACCCACTTTACCACATTCACAATTCTCGCTGACCTGCATGCCAAGTTTGTATTTGTGTTTAGGTATGAGGCAATGTGTGTTTATAATTCTGCAAAAGACACTAATTTTTTATCTGTCAGCCTTTTTAATTTTTGCAAACCACGGTGTTCTTTGGGGTTTCTTCGTTAATTTGTAGAATTGGCTTGAATGATTTCTACCTTTATTGGTAAATTCCACAGCCCATTGCCTCCAAGTCTATTCCTTAGCTACTCTGAATAAATCATCATAGTGAATTGTTCTGTTGATAGTATTACTTGCCTTTCGGCCTCTTCCAGCAAGTCTATCTGCCTTTTCATTTCCTATTATGCTTGTATGACTAGGCACCCAAACTATTTTGATTTCTTTTCCTCCATCCTGCATATCTAATATTTTCTTCCTCGTTCTCATTGCAACGTGATTCTATCGGTTCCTCTGCTGATGCCATCTCTGAGAATTTTCAAAATAGCACTTTAAGAATCCGATATTAAAACAGCTTTTCCTGTGTCAATCTCTAACGTATTGAGGGCTAGCACCTCCGCTGAACAAATGTTCGTTAGATCCTGGCATTTCCCTATTATTGAGATTTTCCTTGTGTTGTTGTATATTCCAATTCCGGAATGTGTTGATATTGACTCCAAAGATGCATCTGTATATATTTTTTCATGATTCGAGTATTCCTCCAACAACTCCTGTAATAAGAGTTGGCCATCTGGACTGAACTTCTGTATATTTAAATCCACCCAGTCTATTTTTCGCAGTTGAGTTGCCATATCCTCTTGGAAACATGGCAGATTGTCGGTTCTTTCCAATACTCTGTATTCGTAAATTTTTCATAAAAAAAATAAAAATAAAAATTAGAAAATTATTAATTAATAATTAATTCAATTTAATGCAAAATTAGGTTTCCCACGCATGAGAATACTCTTGTGGGGTAATTTGTATTTATTGTTTACGTTAGCAAAATTTGTATTATGTATGAAATATTCAATAATTGCCTTATAATACCTAATTCCTATGTGGGCCAATGCATAACCCACCCCCTCCATTACCGCCGGAGCGCACTTGGTCCGCCAATATAAGGAGGATCCTGATTGTAACAAGCATAGAAGTTGAGTATCACCCTATTGACCTCGTCCCTTCTAATGGTTACTTTTCTGAGCATCAACTTTGTACTAAGTAGGTTCTCTTCTCTAAGTGCCATCTCCGCGACGAAGGTTGGCAATCATCATCGCAATCCTGACTTTAGAGGCAGTTGTTCTAAAAAGATCTTTTGAGCTGCATTCAAACCAGTCTCTCAGATTCTTCAGCCATGAAACTCGTCTCCTGCCTACGCTTCTCTTGCCTTCTATTTTTCCCTGCATTATTAGTCGTAGAAGACTGTACTTCTGACTCCGCATTATGTGTCCCAGATACTGCAACTTTCTCTCTTTAATTGTAGTTTCAACCTCTTTCTCTTTTCCAATTCTTCTCAGCACTTCAATGTTTGTGATTCGATCTGCCCAAGAAATTCTACAAATTTTTCTATAGGTCCACATCTCGAAAGAGTCGAGTCGTCTCATTGTATCTGCATTCAGTGTCCATGCTTCCACCCCATAATAAAGCACACTGCATGTGGACATAACGTTGTGTCAATCTTAGTTTGAGCCTTAACGTCAGCTCTTTACTACACAGGACTTTTTTCATTTTTATAAAGTTGGTACGAACTTTTTCAATTCTGGTTTTTATTTCTGCGGTATAATTATTGTTTTCTGTAATAATTGTTCCTAAGTAAGGTTATCTTTAACCATTAAAATTTCATTTGTGTTGTTGTTCCTACAAATTTTTATAAATTTGGTTTTCTTGATATTGAGGGAGAGTCCATAATTTGCACTACACCTAAATGTTGTGTTCATGACTCGTTCTAATTCTTTTAAACTGCCGGCTATTATTACTGTGTCGTCTGCATATCTGATGTTGTCAATCACAACTCCATATACTTTCATACCAGCTGTCTCATTTTCCAATGCTTCTATTATAATTTGCTCGGAGTACGCATTAAATAATAAAAGCGATAACATGCATCCTTGCCTGACCCCTCTATTTATTTCCATTTCAGCAGATTTTTCCTGCCCAATTTTTACTGAGGCTCGTTGATTGTAATGCAGATTTGAAATTAATCTTACATCTTGTCTATCCAGGTTTCAGCTTTTGGGAAGGTCTATAAGTTGGTCATGTTTTACTTTATCAAAAGCTTTATTGAAGCAGATATAGAGGTCCTGGTTAACATTCAAACATCTCTGAGTCAACAGGTTAAAAGAAAATAATGCTCCTCTTGTACCCACACATTTCAAAAACCAAATTGAGTGTTATCACTGATGTCCAATTCTAGCTTGTGATGAATTCTGCTGTATATAATTTTTAGGAGAATTTTTAACGTATGACATTAAGCTTACAGTTCTATGATCACTGCATTCTTTGGCATTGACTTTTTTCGGTAGATATATAAATGTTGATGTAAGCATTTCTTGTGTGTATTGTAGATCGCTTGTGTTAAACAGCTCCACCAAAAAAATCTTTGTTTTTTTCGTTGATCAACTTGAGCAACTCGCTTGGTATTCCATCTGGACCTGCAGATTTCTTATTCTTCATGGATTTGAGTACATTTTCAACCTCCGATTTAGTTATTTCAAGTGCTATGTCTCCACCTAGTCCACCTTGATAGTCTGCAGCCGTGTTTTCCTGTCTGTGGTCATGATATTATTCCTCTATGTATTCTTTCCATCTTCCCAATTTTTTTAATGATATTTCCTTCTTTATCCAAAAGTATGTTTGAGTTTTTTCCCTTTCCAAATCCCGCTAGTTCCTTGACTTTTTTGTGTAAATTAAAGTTGTTATATTTGTTTTGTAACTCTTCTATCTGATAACATCTTTCAGAGAAATAAGTTTCTTTTGCTTCTTTTATTTTTCTTCCTATTTTACTTGGCAGTTGTTTGTAGCAGGTGTTGTTTTTTGCTTCTTTTATTCATTAATTCTAATACTTTGTCTGTCATTCAATCTCCTAAAAGTGATGTTTTAGTGAGTTGCTATTGTTGTTCTGGGTTTTCTTTATTTTGTTGAGATTCGGAGACATTTCTTTCTAAATTTTCATTGATTTCTTGTTTGAGTTTATCTCTAATTTCTTCTGATTTAAGTTTCTCTATGTTTAGTTTATCGATTTTGTGACTGGATGGCATCTTTTTCAGTTGTAGTTGAAGCAATAAAAGGATTATGATCAGAAAATACGACCGCACTTGGGTTATCCTTTACTGATTGCATTGCCTTTCGGTATATTTGCTTTATTAAGATGTAATCGATTTGATTTCTAACGATA